TTTAATCTACTATATTGATGGAAAACTCTAACTTACAATAAACCTGATGATTATTTTCAAATTGACTGGTCTACATGTTGGTGGTAGATGTGGATGGTAGAAGCATCTGGTTGCCTGTATCTAAAGTTTTGAGTACTTCCAGGGCCTTGAGTACTTAAGGGCCACCCAAATTGAAAGCTTGAAAAGATACTTTCAGTAATGACTACTTGATGTATTATTGGTGTGACTAATTACAACATTGATTAACATGGGTATTATACATGTATCTAATAAGATCTAGTACAACATATTTGTAGATTAATGTTGTCTTTCTGTTACACTTCAGACATTTAACTGTTTATGGAGTGTGCTTGATGTAAATCAAGATGGCTTCTTAGACTATGGAGAGTTCTCAAGAGGATTTATTGGTGAAATGAATGAATTAAGGAAGTCCTCTGTTAGAAAGGTAAGCAAGAGGTAGTTTTTCAAAAACATTAAGTTGTTTCTAGTCTATGCTCTGAATTTCCATCAGTATCTTACTTCTTTAGAGCTCTCCCCTCTTTTATCCTGACCAGTCCTGCCATTCTTTCTAGTTTTCTCTCTTTGGCTAGCAATTTCAAAACTGAATTTATTGTGCAATGAAGCCTCCTTTGAAATTTTTTAGCTTAGAGTGTTTATTACTAAATGATGTGTCTGGTGCTCCAACCATTTTTAGTTCCACCAATAGTTGACACATTTGCCTTTTTGCATCTTCTATTAATTTTTAATTGACATGTTTAAATGAAGCTACTCGTTGAGGTGTGATTTCTGTTCTAGTGAAGATCCTGGAGACAGGACTTATTTGTCTTTGAGATGGTCATAGGCCTCCTTGATCTCCTCCTTTTTGCAGAGAATTGTCGTAGTGTCATTTTGTTCTTCAGTGCAGATAGTGTTGTTGGCATGAACTTGCTTCCTTTAGGTTTGGATTGGGGGCATAAATTTATTAAAGACTTTCCTGAGTCTGCCTTCTGAATGCTTCTGTGTTAGGGTTGAACATGTGAACCTTGTTGTGCTTTGGAGTAAATTTTTGTGAAACTGTATCTAGATTTGTCTCTCTAAAATCATACCCCTAGAATTTAATTTATACAGGAAATCAACCTACATGAATGCTGAACTTGACCATGAGTGTTTTTCAACAGGTTTTCCGGAAGTTGGACCCTAACAAAAGTGGTGTGGTTAATTTGAATAACATAAAAAAGTTTTACTGCACCAAAAAACACCCAAAAGTTATTTCAGGTGATAAAGTAATAAAGTTTAATTAAGTTTGCAGGCATTAATATTTTTTGGGTCCTACTCAGAGTCATTTTAGCCCAAGCCATTATGAACATTAACTGTATTACTAAATTATTAACACTTTTGAAGGCATGATGAGAAAATAAAACTGAAAACATGACAGCAAACAGTCTGATCAATTATGCAAGTATGGGAGTAGGCTAAAATCTCTATGTTAGCCCACAACATGTGCCACATTGCCCAACAAAGTGATAATCGTAAGGTACCTTATTTACAGCTCTGTGCTGCAATAATTTCCAAGAAGAGCTTGGTTCAGATTATGGGTTGTGATTTAAGTTTATCTGTGGTTCATCTCATTTTATTTCAAACACCTAAACCTTCAATTTGTTATTTTACAGTCAACAGAGAACCAAATGAGATTTCAATCAAAATTAGATCAAACTACAGCATACACATGCATTTAGTGATTTAAATATATGGTGTCATATATCAGTCTTGGTCAATTCGTAATAATTCTCCAACTTGTTTTCAGATGTAGAAAACTTTTGTCTTTTGAAAATGTCATCTTGTATAGTCTGTTAGGGTCATTATAGGGTTCATGTACCCAAAGATCAAACTACTTGAAAGAACCTCTATTGGTTGCAAATCAGTAATTTTGTGATTATTTTTGTTGAAGATAACCTCGGATTTCCACAAATTAAAACAAACTTTAAGTTAACATAGCTTGTTATATTACTTTCTAAAAAAGTCTGAAGCTCATTTAGGAATACAATACAATAACCACTTTAATCCTTTCCATTTTGTTTTTCAGGAGAGGCTAAGGAATGGGAAATTGAAGATGCCTTTCTTAGCGCTTTTCAACTTTGTGAGAACAAGGGCCAAGTAACTTATGCGGTATGTCAACTTTTTTGCTACTGAACTCATCATATACCCTTTTTCCTAAAATTTTTTAAACTTCGTTGTAAGGAAATAATTTTGATGTCAAGACAGTTAATAACTAAATGATGTGCACAAAAAATTTTAGATCAATGTGGCCTTACAGGAATATGAATCCATTTCTTTTATCATAATGACATTTGGTGACTTTTTCAAGTGTGAAATTCCATTTTCTCACTTAAAAGGAGAAGCACACTTGCCTTACAAGAGTTTCCACTAATCCATCATCAAATGAACCATGCTGTCCAGTTGTTGTGATTCATAATTTTTTTAAACACTTAATAATATTACTTACTAGAAACAAGAATTGTAGTTATATAATTAATACATAATTATAACTATTTGTTTGGTCTTTAATCCTTGTTAGTAACCCTGCATCTTTGATTTGTTTTTATTATATATTTTATACAAATCATCTTCCTCGATGGTTGTGATAAGTGATAAGTTATACTTAACTAACTTTTCCTTTAAATTTCCCAACAGGAATTTGAGGACTATTATGAAGGTGTAAGCCTTGGCTTTGAGAGTGATCAGGAGTTTACAGCCATGATGAGAAACTGTTGGAGTATCTAATGCTACCGATGTCTAAGTGTTGTTTTACAATGCCCTACATCCAGCTGTAAGGTTTATAGTTAGAACTACATTCCAAATGATGATGGTAAACAGTAACTATTTAAAATGTGCACTAAAATGTTGTTATTTTTATCTTTCCAACATTAATTACTAGAAACTAAGTTCACCGTTCTACTTTACCATGTGTCTGTCGAAGCAGGCTGTTTCAATCGATCAGAACTGCATTTTATCAAAATTTTAGTTTGATTTATATCTTCTATTCTTAACATTTCCTAGTTTGTTAAATATTAAATTCATATAGTCTAATTCAGTTGCATGAGCATGTTTTTCTTTCCTGTTTTTCATGCTCCGTCTACTAACTTGTGTGCGTGCACTAAAGCATGGCAGTAGGAATTTCCCTTGTGTTACAACTGATGTGCATTAATCACTTTCAGAAGATTGTGGAAAGTTAAGAGATTAAGATAAAAGAGGCTAAGTTTGTGTGGAGCACTAGTGAAGTATTCTGCATCTTTTTTGCTGTCCAAACTTCCCACATGCTTCACATCTTGAGGAACACACAATTGTGCATAGCTTAGTTATTACTAATGGGTCCTGATTGGCTGAGAATTATGCTGTATATTGTTATTATTAGCCATCACGAGGTGATTATAATTTTTCAAATGGCTAGAGTACCAGAGATTCCTAGTGATGTTTCTAAAGAAGGAAAGAGGACAGAATTTTGCCTGAGTCTCAACCAATAATCACCTGAGTGAGTAATACATGATAATTATTATCCTTGGACTCAGGAAAAACTATCAAGTAATTTCCTCAATGTCATTTTGGAAACTCTTTGACAAAAACTGCTTTGCCTGTGGTAAACGCATGTTAAATAATAAAGCAGAATTCCTCAGTGATTTCTTAGTCTGGTTGTCGTATTTGGGTTCATTGTATTTAGAATTCACTACAGGAACATTGCCACTATTTGGTAGAAACTACAATCACATGGAGTTAGTCCTTAAATTATTTATTTTTACAGGGTAGAAAAAAAAACTGGTTTTAGGAAATGTGTTGAAATCAAGATTATACATGTGCAGATACTTAAATTTGGTTTGTGTCATAATGTTTGTCATCATGTTTGCATTTGCATACTTTCTAGCAGTGAAGTATATATGTAATAGTGGAACCCTGATGCAGTGAAATACCTTGTTACTCTGATGTCATCATTATATCTTATAATTTACATTGGAGGATCTCTCATTTGGAGGAGGAATTATCATTAGTTATGAGGTTAAGGTGACAATCACTTATTTAAATCCCTCAGTCTTTTGATGTTAAGAGCAAACTGTCACTGCCTTTGTCTGTCATGTTGTCGTGAAAGAGAACCAAAAATGCCAGTCAGTCCTTCTGGCATTTCTTCATTGTCTTTTTGGTCAAATAAAGCTCAAGTCATGCCCAGTTTGATCTTGAAGATTGGTGTAATTCTAAAGAATCTCAGATGAGCACACCCCTCTCTGCAATGGGAGTCCTCCCCCCCTAGGGAGCAATTATAACTGAGCTTTTCTATGCACTTTAAATTTGAAGCAGGGGGCAGGAAAGGGGGAAGATACACTTGTTATTCAGAGGCATCAGTATAATTAAGTTGCATCAGTGGTTCACTTTTTCTCTCTACTGGGTTATGACTTTGAATGAAAAAAAAAGGTTTCACTGAAAATATAACACTGCAGGCAGAAATCAAAACACTGATGGACAGAACTTAAGCAGTGCTCCAAGCAGCCACTATTCGGTTGCCAGTAGGGGTTGAAAAAATTTGGTGTCTATATTTGCACCCCAGGATAGCAATTTGGTGTTTTTTGGTTGGGTAGAAAGGTCGGATGTTTATAAAATAATGCACAGTGTTTATGGCCTAGGTATAAACTAATGATAACATTTTGGATCAGATGTTTTAATCCCTTTATCAAGTCTTCCCTCAGAAAAATGTTCCTCCTTCTACTTGATGGTCTGTGCATAAGCCTGCTGGATATGTTGCATGAACCTTCAAAAGCAATGGCTTGCTAGTCTTAATTTTTTGCTATTTTGTTTTATTGTCACAATCCTTCTTTTGTTTCTGGCAACCATTATATAATGTTAGTTCACCAAACTGGTGACTTTGACTTCAAAATGAACTAAAGTTGAGTTTACAGCCCAATTAAAAGGAATCACGTGTACTGTAGCTTCAAAACGCATAATTATTACAGTGTTGTGTCTAACTAAAAACAAACATCTGTGGTTCAAGATTTTAACCTTTAGAAGTTAATTTTTATTAATTCACGGAAGTAATGAAACCCCTTCCTTAATGATCATGACTTGACAAGAAAAAAATCAATATTATGTAAGAATTCTGAAAGCTGTACATCTATTAAATAAATAAAATTCCATGGAAGGAATTCATTCTCTTTTTTGTCATTGCTAGCCATGTTTCTAAAAGATCGCAATATAAATAACTTACAACGTCTACAATTGTTTGGTTTTGGCTAACTTATTTACACATTTAACAGATTGAATGTAACTTTACTTTTTTTTATTTATTATCCTTGTCCACTGAAATCCTTACCAACAAAACATACTCTCCATTCTATAAATGCAGATCGAATATGTGTAATTAAAAGCGGTCGAGAAAGAGTATGTTAACACTGCAAAGAATTTGAAGCTATTCAAGCATTCAGTTCACTCGAAATTTTAACTTCTTTGCCTATCTGCTTCCCAAAAATTGAATCCCCAAGTTTTGTGAATTGAACGCCGTTGTCGTAATAATATGATTGATGACGCTCGAGAAATTTTCAATTCTTACTTCATAGAAGACTATATGCCATCTTAAAACGATGTCAAATGTGTGTTTCATCTGTTTACATCCCAGAATATATCTTCTGATAAATAAATACAAATTAAGTAACCAAAAAATACGCTTTGAAATTACTAATACTATGACGTACACCTCTTTTTACCTCCCTTACGCCACATAAATGAAAATAAATCGAGCTTGAAATAATGTACTGTAGGTAAGCATGTCACGATCGGCGCTCGTCTTCTTCAGCTGATCTCAGGTCCTAGCAGAAAACGAAACTAACGAAAGGCCCCCCCAAAAAAATGTGACGATAACCCATTCGGGCAGCACTGGAGATATTCACAGACTAGATTTTTTCCTTTTATCCCTTCACGAAGACAAACGTCATTCAGTAATATCGCTGACAGCTCCTGCTATTCATCAGCTCATTAAATATTCTTTTGACAGTATTTCCTCTAATTTTCCAATGTCGTGCATCAAACATGTACCTCGGGCTCGTTGGATTTGAGTTTGATTCGATCCTGAGGACTTCTGACAATGACCGATTTTCCCTTGTGTTCTATAAGCAATCTAGGTAGCTCTCCGTTTGGACGTTTTTCGAAGCAAAACCGCACAAAAGAACCGCTCAGTTTAGCGGTGGGCTTAGTCTGTAACACTTGCCAATATTTGATGCACTTAGCACGGCTGATAGCGACAAAACTCGGTGGCAATCCGATTTGAGGAACAGTTCCATCGATCCACGCGTTGATTTTTTCTGTTCCACTTTCCTTGTCGTACTGTAAGGGATCAAGTTCGAGAAGATCGCCCACAACGTTTTCCATGTCAACATCAATATCGTCGCTTTGATACCGTGCATATCGAGGTCCACAAATCGCCGAGTCATACTGACAACAGGCACAGTTTTCCCAACAAGAGCAGTGCATCCAACTGCAACTCTGGCCCATAATTAACACTATTTCATATCTGTTTCACTGCATTCCTCTCACTTGTTCACAAGCCGAACTAGTTAGAATTGTTTAGCCACCTGTGATTCTTACAGAAAGTATTTTCAGTTTGTATCACGGGCTCAAGATAGAAACGACCTAGGTGTTTCCTGGGTAGTCCCTGAGGATACGTTGATCCATAGAAAATTAACTGGAATAGAGAGTCAGAAGGTTATTTGAGGACAACAGCATTTCAGGTTTGCGAAGAGTAAGAAATATGCAAAAATATTTGGCAAGCAATAGTTAGGAGGGAAAGATGGGCTTTGAAACAGGAAATAGGGAAAAAGCACATTTTGATTACACACTGATTTACCCTACCCAAAAAGAAGAGTAACTACCTCATAAGGAGCCAATGCAAAAATATTTGGCAAGCAATAGTTAGGAGGGAAAGATGGGCTTTGAAGCAGGAAAACAAGGAAAGAGCACATTTTGATCACACGCTAATTTTACTGACCAAAGAAAAGTAACCACCTCATAAGGAGCCAATGAGATCTTGAAGGCAAAAACTCACAATCATAAACTGCCTGAAATACTAGTCAACTCACAATCATTTTCAGTTCTGTATTTGATTGAATTGGGACAGTGGTACAAGTTTCCTAAGCTTGAATAATCAATGAATATATAACCTCAGATTATTCAGGCTTGCCATTAAAAATTTCTCCGTGCATAACTTATTTTTAATCCGCTCTCCTGGGTGAGGCAATGTCACTAAGAGCATCTTAATAACAATTTTTTTTCAAGACAAAGGAAACAATAGAGAGGTAATGAATGAAACAGGACATGGTTTTTGGACTAAGGATATTGAATACTATGTAATGCCAAAATGAGAGGGCCCATTATTCTTATTAATTTTTTATTAGGCAATACACACAAAATAAATTCATGAAATGAATAAAAAATTTTAGGGAACAAAGTTAAACTTTTCATGGAATTTCAATGACTGGCTTTGAGCTTGTTTGTTGTCATATGTCATTTTCCATTTTCTCTTCTCTTTCATCATCATGAAAGAGACCACATAATTATCAACCTTCAAAAGGTTTTGTGGTCCAACTTTATCCTTGGTTGAAATTTAGTTCACCTCTGATTTTGATTATGATAATGAAAGTTATTCTGTATTTATTAAAGAATATTTCACTCATCTGAAGGCATTTTATAATTATGTTCAATGTCTACAACAAATACTTATCTATAGAACTTATCTACAGTATATTAGGAATTGAGCTGAAAGTTTACACTTTCAAGATTTGCCAAGGGAGTAAAAATTTTTGATATATTTCACAAGATAAATTTTGCTTCCAGCAAGTTCTGGTAAAAATACACAAATGAACCAATCAAAATAAAAGCCACGCACACTTGCAACTGCTGCCATACTGCTATTCCACTTAGCCATTGGATGACTAAGTCAGAAGCTAAATGCACCATGGTAATATACAGTTGTCCTCCAAGCCTTGGTTAAACCAAGATCATGTTTAGGATCATGCCATTTACAGGAAATTATATATTAACAAGCTGAATTAAACACATATTTTGATTGGTGCTTTCTTATGATCTACTGGAGGACAGAAGCATAGATGAAACAATCACATTTTGCTACATCGTTGTTATCAATAAATAAATATATCTATACACCAGTACATATACAATCGTTTTCAAAAACGTTGCAATTTGAAAGTATACATAAGATATATATATATATATATATATATATATATATATATATATATCTCTTTTTGTTTTCTCAGCAAAAAGGTGATGAACCATGCATGTGTATTTCACATTCATATGAAGCCATTAGAAACTGAAATCTCAATCCAATCATGAGAATACCAAAAATTATTCATATCTCTATTTTTTAACTGTTGGTTCTATTCAGCACTATCTTTAGTTTCACACGACTGCTTTATTATAGCCATAAAATTCAAATGAAACTGAAAAAGTAGGTCTGATGGTATGAATAGCATTTCACCAAGAAATGGCTAAAACAATAGTGGAATTTGTCCATTTCTGGTGTACAACAGAATTACTTTGAGTAAAACTGTTCAATGTGTATATCTAAATTTACTAATGAATGCCTTTGTTTTATTATTATCATTATTACTGCATTTAAGTTACTGCATTGTCCACTAGTTGTTCATCATCAAATTATTTTGAAAGAGAAGTGATAAAAGACCATTGATTCATAAATTATTCAATTATGCAAGTATTTAGCTGGAAAACTTGTCCACTTGACCACAATTAAATTGCACACCCAGTTTTTCATCAAAATTAAATTGTGACAAAACAAAAAAATATATATTTCTCTAAAAGAAAATATGTATATAATATATGTTTTCAAATTGCAACATTTTTGATAAGGGTGTACATACATATATATAAGATTCCATGTTGCCTTGTATCTGCTCAATAATAAACCACAATAAGGTTTCAACATCAGTGATACACTTGCAATAGGCTACATCTCCGTTGTGCAATTTTTTGTTCTAGCAAATTTTGACTTTATCTCTGACATATTACTGTGATGACCCACAACATTGTGAAATCTATTGCTGAAATCATACTATCCAGTCAAAAAGTGCCTGCATTATACACTTACCAGAATTAGGTAATGCTAAAATGTTACACTCCATACCCCAAAATCCTCAGAAAGTGAAAAAAATAGTACGACCAGAAAATAAATTAATCCCAGCAAAGGAATTATTACTTTTTTCCAACCGTGAAAACTCTCAGTGGTATCAATTGCTGTGGATAATTGTTTTATCAAGTTCTTACTTAAGCAGCCTTAATTCGGCATAATCCCACGACATACCACCACACCACTGACTTATTCTTCCTTTAATCTCAACATATACTTTGCAGGTAGCTGTCACTTCAAAATTCCCCATGTTCTGTTCAAACCATTTACAATTACCATGGCGGCGTTCTGCACGTTTCAGATCATGCTCGGTCCATTTCGAACAAAGTTCCTTTCCACACCCTTCCTCCGGCCTTGCTCGGAATTCTACCGTTTCCCTTGAGTTTACGTAAACTCCATCCAGTTTCATACGCCATACCAAAGCGTATTTTCCTGGAAGAACGCCGACGAAAAACTGGTTGATTTGAAGCCAACAAACAGAGTTCAATTGAAGAACTTCTCCATATCCGCTTTCCCTGTCTTTCGCTTTCTGTAAATAATGACCGTTCAGCCAAACTATATCAAAAGAAGTAGCTGGCTTCTTGCTTGTAGCTAGTTTGAAATAAAGCCCTTTGTAATCTATCGCGGTATTTTTAGCTTCAGAAATTGCCTGCCGTCCAAACCGTCTCTCGATGAGGATTTTCCAGACGATATTCTTGCGAGATATTTCGTTCCAGAATTTACAAGTCTTTCCCAAATTTATCAGATCTTTGCCGTTCAGGAAGGACGCAATACGTTCTGCAACAAGCACGGGAAGCGTTGTACTGTCAAATGAAATATCTTGAGATTTACTTTGATGAGTACCTCCGCCTTTAATCGCTTGAAATGCTCTCCAAATGAGGGCCATCTCATGTGCTCGATATTTTAAAAAATCTGTAGTATATTATTAGGACACCTGAGTGAAGTTACATAAAGAATCTTTATTTTCCAGAAGATAGAAAAAAATTACTGGAGGGATCACTGGAGAGGGGACAGTGGAGTACAGGGTCTGATGACAAGGGAGTATTCGAGTTAGGGCAACCCGCGTGTCAGTGTGCAAAAGTATTTTTCCCTGCACTGGCATGTATCCTCGTAGAAATTAATCGACATGGTTTTCCCTCTCAAATTGGAGATGCATTCACGTAGTGACGACAAATTTGCTTTCATATCCCTGCGCCAGTGTTGACCAAACTCCTTATTGATGGGTCTTTATGCAAAGTTCGAGATAATTATATCTTTCCAGCTGCAAAATAAGGAGTAGAAACATTTCTTAATACAGTATGAAGGGTAGTCACGGATAACCCCAGTATCGCCTGAAGATTGCGTGACGAAAACAAGTTACGCTCTTATGTCTATCATGTGACTCGTTCTTCATTGCAAACGGCCGACTCAAAGGAACCTTAGAGAAATAAAACTGATCGATATGCTTGTCCCTCCTGTTGCAAAGGATATCCAAAGCGGTGATCAGCATCCAGATGGCGCATCGGAAGAAGATTCCTTCGACAGCAGAGACGACATTATAGAGAGAGGCGAATATTATTCTCCTGAGGAGTTGCAAAAAGGTTTAACTGTGTTCACGGCCGCAGTGTTCATCATCGGAGAGATGGCTGGGAGTGGAGTCTTGGCTCTTCCTGCTGCCATTGTTGGAGCCGGTTGGACAGGATTCGGTTTACTCGTTCTCTGTTGCTTTGCCTCGGGTTACTGTGGAACGGTTCTTGGGAGATCGTGGGCGACTCTTCGTGAAAGGCATAGCGAGTACAAGGGACACGTGCGGTACCCGTACCCAGCAATAGGAGAAAAGGCTTATGGAAGATGGGCGTCATTGGCTGTGACTGTCTGCATCAATATCACACTGATAGGTACAGTACTGAAAATAACATTGAAATGAAATGCTTATTGATTAACTGGAGATTTTTAAATTTAGCAATTGAACACGGAAGCGGGTGCCAGGAAACTTTGGGGGAGCAACAGAAGACACTTCCAAGGGACTGAACACGTGCATCATCCTTCGCTGCAGTGTTATCAATCAATAATTGCTATATTATAATACATACATGCGAGGCAGTGAGTTTTTAAAGTGTTTCCTTACACCTAGGCCTTAAGTATTTACTCTATTTTACATGATGTGATTTACGAAGATGACGTCTGCTTGCTCGATTATTTTTGAGTCTAATGCCCTGAGTGAATTTTCTAAAAATTGCTGTTGGGTTCCCACTTCTAAATATGTTCCTTACGTAAAGAGTCGTGTGACAGTTCATGTCAGGTTTAGCAATCAAATAGCCATTTTGAACTCTGCTTTGCCTCGTTCCCAGGACCTCTCCTCCCTGAGAAATACACGGGATCGAGGTTGTGACTTGATTTGCACTAGCATCCTGCGCGAAAGAGAAATCACCGACGTTTTTATTGTAAAGGGTAGTAAATCAAAAGGTAAAAATGACTTAATTCCTCTTTTTCACCTCTCAACTCTCTGAAGCGAAACATAGCTTCATATCAATGCCATGAGCAACATTAGTCAACCTCGATGTCTTTGACAAGGCTCCGAAACTAATATTTTTACATTTGGAACAAACATCCATGTTTGGACGATGAAATGTATAGGTGTTACCTGACGTTACTGTTTTGATATTATGACTAGGGGTGTGTGTAGTGTTTTTGATCCTGGCGGCGCGAAACTTGGCAAATCTTGTCAATTTGCACGTGGCTGATGTTGGGAAAACCGGCGAATTGCGTATCTGGCTCGTAATTTGTTTTGCTGTTCTGCTGCCATGCTCGTGGCTAGGAACGCCCAAGGACTTCTGGGGGATCGCTGTCGGTGCTAGTGTAGCAACAGCTGTGGCTTGTTTGATGATCTGCGTCTGCATCGCATTGGATATGCCGTCTGATTTGAATACCGTTGAACAACCTACTGTAAGCTTCGAGAGTTTCTTTTCAGGTGTGTATTCCTAAGTGGATGATCATATTTAATTATACATGCTACTTATATAAAATTATATGATAAGTTGAATTATACAAGCATTTGAGTGGTACTACTTATGTTCTGTTGGAAGACAAACGCATAGATGACGTCACCATTAACAACCTTTCGTCATCTCTATAATTAGACAAATCGGTTCTACGTTGCTGTGGGTCTGTACAGTAATAGATCACAGAAGACATCAAAATGTGGTAAAAACATCAGTAAAACAACCGGCTGCGCTTCATGTGCTCTTTTGTTTTTCTTACCACGTTTTGTCTCCATCTGTGATCTATTTAACAAATAGATTCCAAGTTGCCGTGCGCCTGTACACTAATAGATCACAGAGGACGTCTAAATGTGGTAAGAACAAAAATGTGGCACACTCGGCTGCGCCTCGTGTGTAACTGATGTTCTTACCACACTTTGACGTCCTCTGTGATCTATTACTGAACAGACGCACGGCAACTTGGAATCTAATTGTTTTACATAATAAAGAATTAAAATATACGGAAAAAAGTTTTAATGATGACGTCATCTATACGTCTGTCCTCCAATAGATCATAAGTGAGAACCAATCAGAATGCGTGCATAACTGAGCTTATTGTATAATCCTGAACAGAGGCACGTTAACATGGGATCTATTTGTTACATGAGTGCCAAAGGTCTCGGTGTGGTCAAGTCGACTTACCAGGTTATCCGGTGTAATAAAAAATGACACGACTTTTTTACTAGAATGTGCTGCGAAACGTTAACATTTCAATCG